AGGCTGACGGACACCAGCAAATACACCGGCAGCCACAAAGAGCGTTTTGATGAGAGTGGCAAAGGGAAGGGTCTTGCTGGCCGCCAGGATGCGGTGGACAACAGCGGCTACGTTGGAGCCTACAAGGGAGCTGGCACCTACGACCAGACACACTAGGACTGAAACTGCTAAAGGAAACAAGGACTTTTCTCCCGTAACGTGAGAGGAGAGGCAAATAAACACCTCAAGCAAACAGCCTTCTGTGTTTGTATCCCAAATCCAAGAGGGTGGGTGCGCGTGGGATGGGCACTGGATGACTCCAAAGAGTGGTGCAGGCTTCCCTTCTGACCACGATTAGATGCTGGGCGATGGGGTTCAATCTGAGCTCAAGCTGGCCTTCTGGAGGAAATTCTATGGCCTGGCTAGTCCACTGCCATCGCACTGCTTTGCGTTTCCAGTCAGATGTTCGCCTCAGTAGCTGAGTCTCTGAATAGTCACCCCTTTTCATTCTCCCCTCCCAACACACTATGCTTTTTGCTGTGGTTTTTGGCTTGGGGAGCGGTGTGCGTGTATTTTTATGCAGCTGTGCTGGGTTACGTTGGAGTTGATGGTTTCTATGGCAGACAGTCCACCAGTGGTGCCTGACCACACCTGGAAGAGCACTGTACAGGGCAAGGGACGCAACAGGCACCATACTTGTGGAAAGGAAAGGGGCACTGATAACAGCACTTCCTGCTTTTTGTTTTCCCCTTCCCCCAGGTTAAACCCTCTCTCCTATTTGTAGCCCTTGGCGTGGTCACGTCCTAATAATTCCCCAGGGTTCAGGGTGCTGGCGGCTGTGGGAGAGTTTGCGAGCCTGAAGAAGGCAAATAGAGACCTGTGGTGCAGGGGATGAGGAAGGAGGGAAGGCCATGCAGAAGGGCAGGAGCAGTGAGCATGCAGCAGTATCTGCAAGATTTTCTTCCTGCAATGGGTGGAGCTTAGCTAAGCCCACCTTGCTGTTGTGGAGTTACTGCGACCAACGGCAAGACTGGAAATTACACGCCTGTTAATTAGTGGTGAGAATCTCTCACAGAAGACACTGGAGGAGATATGACTCTAGAGGGACTGTGGCTGGTGGCAAAGGTGACACCAGGGCAGTACAGTGAAAAGGTAAATGCAGCAAAAGAACAAGCAGGTGACCCAGATCTCTTGGCTGTGGCCGATCAGAATAACATTTCAGTTTCATGGGCATAGCAGCATACTACCACCAAATAATGCAATTTTCAAGCAAAAGTTATAGGTACTGACCACTGCAGGGTCGGGGGGAGGATGAGGTCGCAGCTGTGTGCTGCTTGGCTGCTGCCTGGGGTTAAACCACAACAAGCCCCAAAGGCTCCATCCTCTGAGCACAGGGAGGCATTAGTCACAGAGACAGCCAGAAACGTCGGGTTTGAGCTTGTGCCAAACAGTACACCATTCCTCAGAGTTAATCTCTGTATTCCCCTTGCAGCCCTGCAGCAGCCAGGGTAGTGGAAGGCTATTTTGGAAGTTGAGTGGTACCAGAGAACTATTTCACACACACGCGCACATAAAATCTTCAAGCACACTCAGAAGCTGGGACGTAGAGCTCTTCGTAAGCAGATTATGATAGGGAAAGGGAGCCCCCCAGAAAAGGCTTTCAAAGGCTGAAACAAACCCAAGCCACTAAACACATGCTGAGGGGCATCCACAGTGGGAGTTCTGTTGATCATGTTTTTTTGACAAAAGTAGGAAAAGACTTAAAACAAGTTGCTTCTGCAGCTTGGCCAAAACAGAGCCTGTGTAAGAAGCAAGGCTAAAGGCTCTCTCTCCAGCAGTGCCTGTCATTTTGGGACCATCTCAGGTATCCAGTCATCAAGCTTGACACACTTGGATTTTCAGGAAGGATGAGAAACACCTTCTTACATCTAGACCCCACAGATGTGGGTTAAGGTACTTAAAACAGCAGCTTTCTGAAGTGTTTAAATAATTAATTAAAGCATTATTTATATTCATTTTCACATTCTTGAAAGGAAATCACCCTCATGTTTCTTATCCAGAAGAACAGAAATAGGCGGACACAAGTCCACAAGTCCAGTTTCTGTGACTGTCCAGTATGTGAGGACTGGATAGCCAGGGGCTACACTCCCTTCTCCTCAGACTGGAGGCAAGGACCATAAACCAGCCCTATTACTTACCGCTTCCATCAGGCCCTTCAGAGAGGGAGTCTTCAGCATCAGTGCATCAAAGACTTCCTCTGACTCTTTTCGGACATACAGCAGCACTGAAGAGCAAAATCAAAGAGAGGAATTTACTGCATAAGTGCACCTCAGAAAAAAATCTGTGTATGATAGTGGCTAAGTACAGTGTAATATACACTCAGATCTCATGAAGAGATAGATATATGTATGTATACTCACTATGCATTGAAGACTGTACCACAGACATGCATAGCTGGGTCAGCTCAAAACATACTTTTGCACACAGAAATACTGTGTGCTCAAACAACTTTTTTGTCAGAATACTTCATTTTTTTTCCCTCCATTTGCTATTTTCTCCATCATTTGAAAAAAAAAGGGCTATATCAGAAAACACAGAGAAGTGGAAAGCACAACACAGCCCTGAGACTCTTGGGTATCCCTATCTCACAGATCATCTGCCACAAGACTGCACAATAAAATGATTTGACAGATGCTACACCACAGCAGGTGAAGCCATCCTATCCACCTCCTCATTTTTAAATAATTTATTTGTATATTGCTCTGCTCCTCCTATGCTGCCACAATTCTCTTCCTACTCCTTGCCATGTTTCAGTAATACTCATACCACCTCAGCCAATACACAATGCAGACTTAGTCTCCTGCTAGGAGGGGAACAAAAGCCTAAGAAACATAATTAGGTAAGCACCCTTAGCATTCTCAAGCTAACAGAGTCAGGGCATGTAACATCAGCCTCATTAAAAACTGCATTAAAGCTGAGGAATAAACCATGAGAGCAAGACAGCTTCGACTTTAACAGCTTTGCTCTCTTTAATCCACCTTCTAATGACTAGGTATGGCAGTCTGGATTGTTTACAGCAGGTCACCAGCCACACCTTTGACACACCTGCATGGCACAATTACTGGCATATCTAATTGGACAAGGTGAACTCAGGACAGCACAGCACCTTCATGGCTTTCCTCTGCTAAAGGCAGATTTGAAAAAGGAGGACTGTAGATTTAAAAAAAGACAGCATGCACACTCTCAGTAACAGCACAGGTCGGATGACACACCAGCCAAAGGAGATGGAATCTCATGGCTCTTGTTTTATGGCATACAGCAACGAGAAAAACCAAGAAGTCTAATTTCCTTCTATAAAACCCATCCTTCCTTACTAGTTTATCCAGACTACAGAAGTGCAGCCCCATTAAGGTCAGACTTGCTAGACTTAACCTTTGCTGCACCACAAGTTAAATCCTCCTCTTTTAATCCTTGAAGCTTTGTCATGCTCCTCCCTCTTATGACCATCACCAGGTGGGTAGGCATCCTCTACACCATCTCCAAAGGGGCCTCCCATCTCCTTCCACAACACCACAGCAACGTCGAATTGCAAAGGTTGACAACAGGTTACAAATAAGCAGAATATTCTCTCAGTTTGGTTCTCAGCAGTGAACAGACCATTTTCTGGCACCATGAAAGATGCAGCAATTTTACACCCAGAACCAATTCTTTGCATTCATTGCTTAAAGTCCTACAGAAGATTTGCAAAGTATTTTCTAGTGGATTATATGATGAATTCTCTCCCCAGTCCACCAAGGAGACTGGTAAGCTGCTCAGCTCCAAGTCTCTTGCCTTACACATTCAGAGTCAATTAGTGTCTGAGTTGGCAGAAAACCCCAGTTCTGACACTGTAAAAGATCTGTGGAACTGAACTACATCCTGATACAAACTCTTTCTATTACTACTCAAAGCCAGAAAAAAAAGGCTACAGTCCAAAATAAAACATCTCTTTACCCTCAGATGCATCTCTCTATCATGCTGGACAAATACTCCAATAATTCAGTCCCTGAAAGAAATACCTCTTTTTGGCTCTTCTATTCTGGCCATCTTATTTGGAGTAGCAATGAAGTCCTCTTCACCAATATAGGCTCCTCTCTTCAGGTTGGAGCTGTCATTGACAGGGCAAAAAGTTAGCAGTGTTTTTTAGCAGGGACTTACCCCTCTATCTGAAGGCAAGACTTCAACAGGGTGAAGCAGCACAGCTCTTACCTTTCACCCTCCAGTTCTTCTGACGCAACAGGAAGGACCTTTTAAAATAAAGGGAAGATTTTCTTGACATATGCAGACAAACAAAGGCTGAATTAGGTAGCTCGTGAGAACCTTATGTGGGATTCAGCCCTGAGAACACAGTACAAAGGGCTCTAAATGCTACAAAACAAACATGCATAAGAACAGCCCCATTAGGTGGTGTAACATGGTTTTGTCAGCAATCTCTCCCCATCCCTGTAAGCGCTGCCAACAGCAACTTAGCAATAGCTTTGTTTGCATTAGAGTCACTGGCATGGAACAACAATCCTGCTACATCTGGCACAAGCAGAGGTCCAACAGCATCACGTTAAAGGAGAGAGAACCCCTGAGCCCATGGCAAGAGCTGCAAGGGACAGGTAGATGGCTCACCCACCCAACTTACTCATAAGCCCGTCAGTGTGTGGCAGAGGACAAAACAAGGCTGCCAAGTAGGGAGCCAGCCACAACTACACTACTACAAGTAAGATGCTTTGGCCCAAGTAGTAAGCATTGGCCTTCATTTTAAACCACAAATAATACTTGTGCTTAGGGCTATGAAAGTTTTATCCAGAATTAGAATTTGTTTCTTTATATTATCTTTCAAATGCCACTTTGGCTCAAATCTACCAAAAGTCAGTACGTCATCTTCACCTCTTTTCACACAGAGAATTTAAAGGATCTAAAATGAGACAGACAGGAGCATACAGGAGCTAAACAACTTCCTAGCTGGACTGGCATAGAGTCTTCTGACAGAGCTCAGCACTAGCGCCTTCATGGGAAAACACAGAAAAAAAATCAGCCTTAGGAATACAAGTTTAAACTCCTAACAGGGATGGAGAATAAGCAACACTCTTAAAAAGTAAGGTTTAGATTCTGTTAGAGCATGCCAGAACTGCCAGCACCAGGAAGTTCAAGATTTTGAAACTTGGTTGCACTTCCCCTCCAGTTTCCTGTCAGCTGGGACTTTCCAGGAACAGGGAGGCAGAGTGCTCTGGCAGTGGATCACAGAGCTGGCACACTTGGCAGTTCCACAGAATGGCTTTTCACCCTGCAGCAGCACGCCAGAGGAGCCCCAGGTCTACAGCAGTGCACCAGGAACCCAGCAGATTTTACAGGAGAAGACCAACCTGTTCAGTCAATGAACTCTCAGCTGGAGTTGCTTTGGAAATATCATTTCAGGCTGATGGAAATGGGAGTATATAGGCAAACAATTTATTCATAAAACGCCCCCAGTTAACTGCAGCCGATTCCACTAAGCACAAAACCTCCTGGTCCCATGAGACTCAGCCTGTATTTGTTTACAGCACCACTGCAGATAGTCTGGTATGTCATGTGTATATAGGTACACGTCTTCTGTATATAGATGGACACAGCACCCTAGGGTTTTTGTAAATACATCCCATAGCCCTCCTCACCCCCACACCCACGGGCTGTACTTACGTGAGCACCACGCTGAAGGTTTGCAAAGTGAACGTCAGGAATGAAGAGGACTGGCTGAGTGTCCAGATCCATGAAGGGCTTGAAGATGGTGATGTCTGTACGTTTATGTGAGGGGAGCATCGGCACTTTGACATCAGAAACTGCAGAGAGATCAGAGGTTGGAACAGAGGATAGTGGAGATGTTGATGGGGCTGTTGCTTTCCTACATCACTTAAGAGGTACATATGCTGTTGAACAAGGGTACTCTGTGGTCAGGGCTAAAGGGAGAAGCTCCTGTGGCAGAATTGTTTGAAGTTGGGTTGTCTACCTCTTAGGTGAGGGCCTGGAGCCTGAGGAAACAGCTCATTTCACAGAGGAGTAGGAGTCTGCTCCATCTCTCCAAGTGAGCTGATTGACTCTGTTCAGGTACTAAGCTGGTCTGGCCACTCGCTGCAGCAGAGGAACACAGGTTTTCCATGTGCCAAACAAATAATCCAGGAGGCAAAAGCTAGTCCAAGGCCCCTATTCTCCCTATCCCTTCCCTGAAAAGGTTGCTGTGTTTCTCCATAACAGGAATGCAGAAAGAAGACAAAGACAACCTGCAACCCACAGGGTTCCACTCGGGAGCCTCACAGAGACAGCACCATAGAAGCACTGTCACATTAAAGAGGTGAGACAAATACTGTTTCTTCCATGATGCTACCTTTAGTTACATTTCAATCCCACATTTTCATAGTTTTGTTCATCTCATTGTTCATCCTGGTCACCTCAAGCTGCCAGAGGCCAGTTCATGGCCCACCAGGACCAGCACTGTCTCCCACAGAGCACTTCAGCTTTCATGATGCACCAGCTGATGACAAGGCACTAAGTGGGCAAACTTCCATCACAAACACCCACCAGGGAGAGGGTGAGGCAGGAGGTGCTTTGAAGTGCACTTCAGACATGTCCATGTCAAACTGACCCCAGCTGAAGACTGGGGTGACTCGTTCATTCCTCTCATTTTACCAGGTAGCAACATTCTGATTTGGGGTCAAACCAACTGCAAGCAAAACACTTCATTTCTCAAGTCTGCTGCAGAAAAAAATGTACTTTTTTGTTCCTTGCAAAACTCATTTTTTTTTAAAGATTGCTCCATCCCTGTAGAAAATAACTTTGTCCAGAAGTCAGAAACAATTTCTGCTGTTGATGAATGCGTGCACACATGGCATTTGTGATGCTGGAGGTAAGTGTAACTGCTCACAGCTTAAAGCAATCACAAACTTCCCACACAGGAGCTAAACAGCAATGGATTGTACTTTCCAGGAAAATAAAGGTCACACCAGGCTCAGACCAAGCCTAGGAAAGTCACACTGGGAAGCAGCTTTTGTAAAATCATAAGATCCTGAAAATCTGAATTGAAACTGTCTCCACTGTCCAGCCATTACACAAAGGGCTGCAAGCAGTAACCTTCTGGGAGCCATTTGGGCTACTACATTTATGAAATGCTAACAGTGTGCTAAACCTGCCTTTCAACCATGTGCTTTGGGAAAAAAAACTAAAACCCCAGCCCTTTCTGCAACTGCCCTTGAGCAAATGGGTTCCCTCGTAGCATAATCTTCTGAAGTTGCTCTAGCAGCCTGTACCTGCTGTGTCAGGAAAATCCTGCCCAGCAAGCCGTGAGGCGCACGCTTGCTGAACCAGTTGGACTGTTAGTAGCACAGCTCTGCCAAGCACAGCGAGAGCAGCCAGGGAGAGCACGCTCCTGCCCCGTGCAGAGGAGGAACAGGGAGATAAGTCTTCCTCTAAGCAGCTCTGCTGGTGAATAAACTAGTCATCCAAACACAGGACCTGCTGCAGTCATATGCAGCAGTGCAAGGAAAGATGCTCAGCCAAAAGAAGCTCCACAGCCTTTATGTATTACGAGTGCTGAAGCTTTTATATCCTTCACAGCTCCTATTGAAATGATTTACTAATTCACTCTGGAAGAGCCCAAAAATCTCACACTCAACCTATCATTTCAAATGCTAAAGACCATAACCCATTGAAAACATAGCAGGACCCCACCTTGGACAGGAAGAGCTAGGTAGAAGTCAAATCCTAAGAGACTTCAGTATGTTACAAAGCACTTAATGGCTCCACAAGTAACTGCGTAAAAACTATTCCATAGGGAATAAAGATTGACTTATAAGAGTTCTAAGTTAAAACACCAGTGGAAAAATTTTTTACTTACAGGCATTCAACTGAGAGCTGGGGTCAGTGCATTTGCCTTTTCTTTTGCTTTGCTTTCGCTCTTCATCCCTGATCTTCCTCTCTGCTCCCTGCCAGACAAGAGAATTAAGGGGCAGGGGAGGAGAGAAAAGGTCTTTTTAGTTTTATGCTTCTTTTCAGCTGCAGAAGCAGGAACATAAATTCCTCCAAAGCTGTGTTTGCAGAGGTCAGCTCCATGGTACCCAAGTTGCAGGTTTGCCAGTGTGCCAACTCTGCCCAGCTGTTCCTTTCAAGTCCTGTCATCGAATGAAATCAAGCAACCATATCCAAAAAGCAAACACTTGCTTCTCTTTCAAGTCAGAGGGGGACACGATGACAAAAGGTAGCCACAGCTATTAGCAACTGTATGAAGTGCAAGATAAAATAAATCTGAAGTGTTTAAAATAATAAAAACTTGCAAGTTCCCTCAGTTTAAGAGTTCACTAGATCATTAAAACCTGATCTATATAAAAATTTAAAATAAAATCAAGCCACACTTGTATCACAAAGTGCAAGGTACTTTCTTGCAAGTTGCACATGGAGCCAGTAGCAGTTTTACCAGCCTTCGCTGATCTCAAGCTGAGGACGTGTAATTTTAAAGTAGGCATTACTTCTATTTTTATCACAGCCAAGCTATGGGGGGAATCCACAGAGACCTAACCAGGTTCTTGCCATGGTTCCTGGACCTCCAAACCAAGCAGCACTGGGGAAAGAACTATATTTTCTGCAAGCTGCTCTGATGGAGAGAGGGAAGGAAGAAAGATTTGTATTGGAATCATGTTCATTTCTCCAGCTCGGCCCAGATCTCCCACGTAACTGTGGGTTCAGGTAGGGGTGTCACATTGCCAGTTGCATAAGGTGATGAGGCCACAGTAGATCCCCAACACTCAATCCTGGTGCTACCACCAGATCACCGACTCAACTGGTATACACAAGTTCTACCTGTCTCCCAACACCCTGGTGCAACGCAGGGTAAGAGGTAACAGTTATCTGACCACAGGAAGCCATCATTTCTCATCCCCACCCTTGTAAATATGCCAAAACACACCCGTGTCTGCACAGTGCTGGAAGAAGACCACATGAGCTGAGGGGAACAGGATGTCAAAAAGCATGTGGTGATGGGGTGGGCAACGGTGCCTAAGGCAACAGCCCTCCTAAGCTCCTAGTAAATCAATGCCCTGTAGGTGACAGGATGCCTCTGTCTGCCAGGTAGAACTGGGCATGTCTCTACTAGCAATAAAAAGGAAAATCAGTCTAGGTACTTGATGTGCACTAACATATATCGTCTTTTCTCCCACCTAAGAGCAAGGACACAGCTTCAGGTAGCTTTTATGAAAGAGGAGAACATTATTAATGCTGACACTGCTTGGCCCCATCCAGCTGATACAGCCCAGTATAGTGATGCCACCTCAGCCTCAGCACAGTTGGACTTGCATCCCTTTGCCACTTCTTTTACCAGAACAGTAGCAACATGTCAGCTTGACAGCAGAAAGATCAGATTTTGCTCCAGCCCTGTTTTTCACCTTTCAAGTGGAAAGAATAAAGTTCTGCTCCTCAAACACTGTGCTACAGAACAGCACCTACTTCCTTGTGGAGAATGGGTTAATCCACCAAGAGCACATGTTTTGAGAAAACCTCTGCCTTCCTGTGCCTACAGAGAGAGTTCTCCTTTAAAGTCAACTTGTTCCAGGCTACAGATGCCCAAATAACCACATCTCAAATCCTGAATGAAAAAAGGAAAGTCATATCTCATTAGCAGGCTTTTCTGCCTTGCCAGCAGAGCTCAGATAGCCAGGATCAAATACTTTAAAAAAAAAAAAAAAGACACTGGCAATCCTGTATTCTGCTATTATGGAATATTCATTCTTCTAAGAAAGATGTTTTCCCAACCTCACCACCTAGAAAACAGCCTACGGTCTGAACAGCAAGATTTCACACTCTTGTCAAGGTGTTAAAGTCTGCAGGGTTTATTCTTTCCTTCAAAGTCTCCAGTTGTGTAACAGACTCTTAAGAAAGGGCAGAGGCACTTTGGGGAGAGCTGCCACCCCTCCCTCCTGCAGAGAAATGATGTATTTGATCAGTAACAGAGGTGCAGGGAGAGGACGGGGCACCGACAGGAGGCACGCC